AGTGCTAAAGAGACCAGTCTAGCCCGGCTGAGGTGAAACGTTAGATGCATGCACTTCCAGGGGTATTAGAACGACAGTGATGGCAACAGGTTAAACCGGGATTTGAAATCAGACCCTCGATTTTAGTTTTCGCGGCGATAACGTGATGATAGAAAGTAAATTTTCACCACAGCGATTCTTATTTAATTTTTTATGAAACTATTATCTTCATTTCAGTTGTTTTAATACATTTTAATACTTATGGTTCAACTGGCAGCATAACCCGTCTTCGACCGCGTCTTACATTATTGGGAATTTTTACCGTTCAATTGGAGCAGTTTAAGTTTAAAGTTAGCCCACCCGAAAATCAATATTAGTAACAACAATTTGGTGTAAGTGAGGCACATCCCTAAATAGGGGTAGCAATTTGAATGGGGAGTGGCCCTGAAAAGGGCCGTTTTTGCGTCCTCAATCTTGTTTCAGCCTCACGCACAGCAGCATTTGAATAGGCGTTTCTCCTCAGCCGTTGAGTCCTTTGATCATCATTTTCAGACTCGCGCGAAAAAAGCGTTCAGGTATGTTCTTCTGGAAAGTCGATGGCTTCGTTGATCTTCGGACTAAGTGGCTCTGATTGAAGCATTCCGAGAGGCATTTTGAGACAGGCAAATTGAACGTTCTAAAGATCTCTTACTCGCATGGCAGTTTTGCGACCTAGGCAAGTTCTTTTCTTTGGTGGCATGTCTTAGACAAGTATGAATTGTCAAATGGAATCCGTGGGCAAATGCCCGAAGAGAACGCTGTAAAGCTACAGGGATCACTAAGCTCGAATAACTTTAGGAAAGGTTGGAAAAATAAATGTTGAGTAATAAGAATGCAAGCTTACTTATTACTAAGGTGAATGCAATGCAAAAACTGGCAGGACAATAAAAAAATTAAATTGGAAATGGCTATAAATGACAATGAAAGCAACGCCTTAAAACTGTAGTAGTATGCTTTATGCAATGGAAAAGGTAACCTCACTTTAGAGAGATTGAAACCTTAACCAAGAGGAGGGGAATGTGTAATTTGAACTCAAAACCGACACTGAAGAATTATCTATCAATATATATATATATATATATATATATATATATATATATATATCATCGAAATCGGATGAAAACTATGGAAACGCGTAAACAACATCGGATCACATACGCACATGCATACACACATTTTGAGAATTATAGATATAGATATTATTATTGTAATAAGTTAAAGTATATATTTTTATTAAAGTTTTTTTGAAAGATATATTTTCATGAACACATGGTAAATAGTAAAACATTCCTGAGATTTAAAATGGACAGGAAGTAGTGGAGAGCCATTGTCACCAACAATTTGGACTCAAAATCGACACTGAAGAATTATCTATCAAACAAAAAATAATCGAAATGGTATGAAAACTGTGAAAACGACTAAACAACATCCGATCACACATCCACCCACCCACACACACACATATATACACACACATTTTGAAAATTATAGAAATAGATACAGTTTTGACCTTAGTGTATAAGCTTCATCGTAGCGATTGACTATTTTTCATATTCCTTACATTAATCACATCTATTTTCATCAATGTTATTCTTAAGACAGCATTTTGCTCGACAAACTTTTCGGCCTTCATGTATCCTCAAGATTCCTCAATTTATTTCTTCATATTTTTAAATATATTAATTGAATTATTTTCCTCTCAATTTCCCTGTTTTAATACATTTCGGCCGATATATTTTTCGACCTTCGGCTAAAACATCTAAAGGCTAAACAAATCAAACAGTGCATAAGTCCAAAGACAATCATCCGAATCATATAAGCGATAAATAAATGTTTATACGCGAAACACTTATGGCAAGATCAATTGAAAAGGTCACGTGTCTTTTGAGTAGGCTGCACGCATGGACCCTTCACCTTGAATAGCTACGAGCCTCGCTTTGGTTCCGTGTGATTGGAATCAGACGACGTTCCGTTGATCACGAAGCTGAGTTCGTTTAGTACGAACAGCCCTTACTTGACGTGAGCTTATCTGTTGTCACTTTGTAAATCTTTTCAAACATTAACTTTCCCTCACAAAAGCCTTATCTTTCAAAAAGCCATTCCTTCGCACAGTGGAGATTTGCCATTAATTAGCTTCATTCATTCTTTGGATTGCCGACATTTTGAATAATCCTTTTTTCTCTTTTTTTTTGTGATTAATTTTTTGAAATATTCTTTATTCTGCTTCGTTCTGTTGATTAAGATAACTGATATTTCTTGGGTTAAGAGGGAAACATTTCACCAAATCAAATAAGCCTTTAGTAAGGCTTACACGCTTTCTTAAACACCAGTTACAAGCAGACACCAATTATATCAGTGTAATATTATCATCATAACTACCAATAAAACAGCAGACAGGATAATTCAGATGTAACATTAAATTTAATTCAATTTCGTAATTTGTCGACCAGAGTGCCCGTATGTGTGTCTAGTCTAGGGACTTTCATTCGAACACTGCGAGAGTAAGTACAAGGTGGAACACTTTAGAACACTGATTACTCTAAGCGATCCCCTCCTATCGGTGATATGTTTCGGCTTTAAATGACCAGCAAAAAGGTTGACAAGTCGTAAAAAACAAACCATTCAACACTCCGAACTCGGAGACTACATTCTCATGCGCAATTGTTGTACCTAGGGAAAATTACTGAATAGAATCATCACACAAAAGTCGATAATGAACGATAATACTTAGGACAAGAACAACACATTCAAGATTCACTAGCGGTAGAAGTAGTCATCTACAAGAAGTGGGTCAAGCGAATTCCACAATGAATCTCCAACCACTTCACACGGTCAGATGTGGCAAAAGGCCGAATTTAATGTGGGGTATCCGATCCCTTAGGCTCGGCAAAAAATTCCCCGTAGACCCTATATAAGTCGAATAGATTGAACGCTGTGTCTAAAGACGTACACTCATTAGACGTGTAATACTCTTCTGTTGTACTTACAATTAATATATGATATGTCTGCAACACTTGTTTTGTTATTTCTTTAAACATTGACTTGGTTACAGCAATCTGGTTCTTGTAAAGATAAAGGATAGCAGGAGGAGTCAGGTACTTACTGGAGCGGTACAGGGAGCCAAACATTTTACCTGCATTTTCATCAACATAAGAAAGAACAGAACTATATCGGATAAGACCAAGAAGTGTCTTATTTCATTGGGTATGAATAAATCCCAGCATGAATATGTGATGGTTTTTTTAAATAAATTTGGGGTTGGGAAGATTGTTGCAATAAATCCTATGTGAATTGGAACTAAAAACTAAGGAATAATAATCTGGAAGAGAGTCTTCATAAACGGTTAGCATAGAACTTACAGATACATCTCGGCATTTCAACTGTAAAATGATGAGACCTTGCCGCCAATCCAGTACTACGCATTGATCAAAATCAAGAAAACGCGCTTTAAGAACCTCAGTAGCTGCAAACCAAAACATTTCTTAACATTTTCCTTGAGGTCTGTCACCCATAAGACATCAAAGGTTATACTAAATCAAAAGTTGAACAATAACTATCGTTGTCAGTAATTAAATGAAGATATAACGATATCATACTGAACCACCAATTCATGTATTGTGGCGCAAAGGTTATCAGCACAGAAAAATGGAATAAACCAATCGAGGTCATTTTAAACTGGTTACTTACGTTGCAATAATCTATATTTGTAAAGAAAGGCGGGTTTTCTATCATTTAGACGTAGCCCGTATGTCATGTACATGCTCGTATGCAATGTATATACGGATGTCTGTATTTTATGTGGCTTATATGTGAATGTATCAGAGAATGTACACAGATGTATGTGCCCAAATATGCATAGACTGTGTGACTGTGTTGCAATAAGATATTTAAAAAAAATATATTTCATTCTTTTTCAGTTTGGACAATCCCTACCCAGGGCTGAACAATAAAAACAAAAGTTAGATAAACAAGATAATTTTTTTTCTTTAAAATGTCAGACAGTTATGAGATTTTAATTATATTTTGAGAAAGTATTCGGTAAGAAATAAAATCATTTTTTTTTGTTTAATAATTTTACGTTCGTTATTGAATTAAATATACATTCCAACACGATCATGCACATACAATCTGAAGGAAAATAAATTTTTATCTGTGTCGCGCGGGCTAAATCCTGTTTATATAGGCCATAACGTTTTACTATTTGAAGACATTTTCATGACTCTAGTACTTAAAATGAATATATATTTTTTTTAACAAATATAGTATTCTAAATAGGAAAACAATTTAAATTTGAAACTTGATCCCCAATCCGTCAGCGAAACAACGAGTAACACTGCAGTGAATTGTGAAAAGGGCGTAAAGCTATTAGTCCTTGAGCTCCAAACAAACATCTTGTCGCTGGTGTTTCAGATGGTCTGATATTAATTACTCTTGTAAGCATCCGGGAGAACTAAACAGGACGCTTATACATAGAATCAGAAGAGACACATGTAATATCTAGGGCACATAAAAAGAAGAAAGATTGTTTGGTGAATCTGACACTCAAAGGACATTTTGAAGGCAAGATGGGCAGGGGAAAGCAGCGAGTAACCTACCTGACGAGCTTTTAGAAAATGAATAGCAGAACAGGGATTAGAAGGTATGGTTAAATGCAAAGCTTATTAAGATCTACAAATGATAGGAGGTTGTAGAAAGCCATACTCAGGTCCAGAATGGACAGGCCACATAGAATATTGATTGGTTTTCACGGCTTATCAACTCTTTTCAGGTTATTTAAAGCCAGATATTTTTTTTTAGATTTTAAGATTTTTGTTTAATATAATAATGGTTTAGGGATACATGTCCTACTAATTAACCCATAGATGGTGAAGAAGAGGTGGATTCAAGCCTTTCCCAAGATGATTTGCGCATAAGTGATTAAAATGAAATCAACATTAACAGTTCTGAGCCATTATCCAGTATATCACCCGCACGTCCAATTTTACAGCCCCTGATATTTCCAAGCGGTTACCCATATAAGTACTGACCAAGTTCATCTTAGCTTAACTTCGGTGTTCGTACGGGGACCGGGACACAGAGAAAAAAATAAATGGTTCATGCCATACACTATTTGGAAACGAGATACGTTTCACCAAGGAAACCACCATAATGTCGACATCACATGAAGAATACAGGAACCGACTTCGATGATGTCATTGTAAAATTGTTCCAGGCGATTGTCTGGAATATCTAATGTCAAGGTATGGTTATCTGAGAGGAACGGTGGTATAATGGATAGCGGCTCGGATTGAGGAATCCATTCGAATCCATTACATTTACTTACGTGCTAATACCCTTGGGGAAGGTATGAATCCTCTTCTTCGCTCTGAGTAAATAGCAGGAGCGACTGGGTTCTATAGCCTCGAGTGGCAACTGGTCTAGGAGAAGGACAACTCTGAATTCAAAACTGATCCTCCAGGTTGGTGGTTGTTCAGTAAGCTAACAAACTAATCACTTAAAAAATGGATTGTTTCAGAGACCGCAACGAAATCTTCCGACTCTACGTTCTCCAAGGAATTTAATGGCATAATGTTGACCATAGAAAAATAGTGTATCAAATTGAATTAATTCACTAGCGCATGTTCTTTCGAGATTTTAAATAAAGATCTCTCATTGAATCGGAGAATAAAATCAACAAGCCAGGTGCGCTCAAAGATACAATCGTATCAGCGTTGTCAGTTCATTTCATTTAGAAAATAGGACAGATTGGTGAATACCCTGTCGGCTGGGGCTTCAGAATACGCCGACTGCAACTCAGCAGGGGGGTAAAACCATCTCTCAAGTGAGGCGTCCTTAGTAGGACGATAAACTACATCTACGACTTGGGTATGACGATGAACTATATCTGACAGCACGGCCTCTGATAAAGAGGTTTTGAGGAGCATAGAACCACCTCATAATTGTTGGTGTTCCCAGGCCCACTCTGACTTGGGTGGTAGCACCTGTTAGGGTCCCAGCTATGGGAAAATAGATAAACCCCAACACTGGGATCAAAACGCTAAGAAAAGGTTTAAAAAATATTAACAGCAAAAAACGTGTCGTCATTAAAGAACCCATTGAGGTTGATATTCCGTAAAATAAAACAAACCAAAACAAGATCGGGGAAACGCTGGTGATCGCGTATTCCTTTATGAAAGTGTCAGAACAAACTCTACAAGGGAAATAAAACTTTTTGACAGATTTGTCTCAGACGAATCAATTACTAAAATGTCATTTACATGTAGAAAACTCTCCCAGAAATACAGGGGGGCCAAAAAAAAAAAAATGACATCATTTTAAAAGCAATTATGTTGAAAACTACTCAATCTAGTTCAATGTAACTGAACAGTTCAGCTGTTGAACATCATACGTTTATTATGAGACCAATTCCATAACTGTTCAATATGTGCACCGCCTGTAATACGGCACACGTCAAGTCTGTAGTTATGCTTTTGCCAAACACGCTGTATCAAGTCTCCGGTAACATTATCCAGTACGGAAGTGATCTTCTGCTTGAGTTCATCAATGCTAGCAGGAAGAAGTGGGGGACATAGACCAGTCCCTTCACATATCCCTATAAAAAGAAATCACACGGGGACAGGTCCGGTGACTGTGGCGGGCATTTCATTAGAAAACTGTCTTCATTTTCACCACGTTGGATACATCTCTCTCACAGATTCTCATTGTGATAAGCACGTACTGTCCTCTTCCATTAAATATATCTTAATCTGTTTCTATACATTCTGTGAAAATTTGAGGTTATTTAAAAAAGAATTGACAAATTTATCGACTTGCGAAATGATGTCAAATTTTTTCTGAAACCCTGTATATTAAAGATGTTTCTCATCTGAGTTATTTTTTCCTCTCCGCGAATTTTTTTCCTATAAAACTTGAGAACGTATGACTTCTTGATCAAGCAATTATCACCTTCAAGAGGACATAATTTTTCAATTAAATTTTCTTCGAACGAGGTGTTATGATTAGAATCCTTATGCATTAATAGTATTGTCCATAATTTTATATAATATTGTCCATAATATAATATTGTATATTTTCATATAATATTGTCCATAATATAATTGTCCATTATATAATTGTCCATAATATTCGCCCATAATATATTCTCCATTATATAATATTGTCCATAATTTTATAAAAGGAATAAATGACAAACATTATTAATCTTGAATCGTATATTGTCCATAATATAATAATCGTATATTGTCCATAATATAATATTGTATAATTTGATATAATATTGTCCATAATATAATTGTCCATTATATAATTATGCATAATATTGTCCATAATATAGTGTCCATTATATAATATTGTCCATAATTCTATATAAGGAATAAATAACAGACATTATTTATCTTGACTCGTATATTTTTTATCAGAATATATTTGATTTATTTACGTAGAGACGCTAATTAATTATAATTTTATAATATGGGCATTTTTAAATTCTATGGGATGCATCAACATTTCAACCGTTGTTTTTGTTAAAATCTCTACACTTTTGACTTAACATTACTTGGTGTAATTTACGACATCCCAAAGATCTTCGTTACTTGAATATTGTTTTCTATTTTCAGAAATATTTATATCTTTTAAAGGTTGACTACAGGTTTTCTTTTGGATTACTATCTGGAGGTGAAGGCATCAGTCCATTAATTTAGTATATCTGAAACCCTTTTTGTCAAGGACGGCAATAGTTGACATTCATTGACATATAACGTTCTGTTTAACATAAATCTTCTTCCATGTAATCTGTACCACATAAAATATATTATCTAAGGACTTGATTTCTTTGCCTTTACATCAACTTCGTAGGTTCTGTAATTCTAGTTCCTAAAATACTAACCTAAACATAACTCTACGTCCACACAGTTGTCTTCTAAATTTATTGCAAGTTTACATCTGTCAGTAAAAATCACATGTGAGCAATCACTTTTCATGTACTTGTTCAGTTGACGGACATGTATGACGTGTACGTGTATAATATATACTTACAAAATTACTTGGGAAAATGCTTCTACTCATGTATAATACGCACCCCTTGTCTGGTAATCAAACCCTATAAATTGGACCTCTCTAATTTCATTACTGCCACCGTTTCCTACTTTTATTTTAGAAAAAATGTTTTTAAACATAGACTAATATTATTCTAATTTAGTTTTATGATAGGGGGTCGTTTGAGGAAAGGATATAGACAAGGACGGGAATCAGAATGAGGGCATCAGAAGATGTCGATTGATATTACATTTGGATATTTGAAGATTATAGCTATCAGAGAAGCAACTAGGGGAAAGGCAGTTCAGTTGTCGGGAAGTGAGAGAGAAGAAGCTGTTGGAGTAGAAGAGACAGTTGTATTTAACTGTTTCGACAATGAGAGAGTGGGACCGAGGTGCCAATCTAGTAGCACGCTTAAATTCATGCAGTTGGGGTACCAGTTAATGTAGCTTGTCAGAGAAGTTGCCATAAAAATACTTGTAGAAAAGACGAAGGGAAGCCACAACACGTCTGTGAGAAAGTAACTGTAGACGAGATGCCAGATCAGCTGGCCACAATGCCTAATCAAATCACAGTTGAACTGGCTTTGAGGTACATGTAAGTTATATACTGAAAGTTTCTTTTCTCGTATTTCTCGCTTGTGGAACTCTTGAGTCTCTGGAGTGTTAATCTGTCTTCTTGCTTACTCTTCTATTATCCTAGCTCCTAAATAATGTTTCTCTTTTTACTTATTGTTTCATACTCATTAACACTTTATGTCTAAGTGGCTTTACTGCTTTACATGCAGTGAATTCGATTCAAAAATATATACGCGTGTAGGCTGTTCTCGTTCCACTGCGAATACATTGTGATATTTCTCTTATTTCAATAAAGATAAAATTTGGGCACCTCGTGGCGGTGTAATAGTTAGCAAGCTTACGACTGAGTAGTAAGTTCGATCCTCACTGGGTGCCCCTTACTTTCTGCCTTGTGCCCCATCTAAGCTACGATTGGAAAATCGCTATGAACATAACATTTGTAATAATTTAGATTTATAATCCGATAAATAATTCATTTTATAATTGAAAACTGTTCATTATTTACATTATTCGGACTATTGTCTTCATCTTTGTCGCCATATTTATTACAACGTTTCGGCCGTTATACGCTCCGGTCTTCTTCAGGTGGTTGGAATGTCGAACTTAACCCTTTATTTCGCTCACTGGGGTAGACTGTTCTAATTCCACGTGCCATATTTAATGGATGTCAGTTATCAGTTATCTACTGATAATTTCCCTCTGAAAGTTCTCAACGGCTTTAACCAGGTACTGAACTCGCATTCTTTGGGTCCTGTCACGGGATATAACCAATGCCTTTATCTACTTTGTCAAAGACGAGGACAATAGTCCGAATGATGTAAATAATGTATATAATACCTGATCTTAGAAATAGAGACCAAAAGGCCGAAATGTTGTAATAAATATGGTGACAAAGATGAGGACAATAGTCCGAATAATGTAAATGGTGTACATAATATCTCATCTCAGAAATATAGACAGGTACTGAAAGGCCAAAATGTTGTAATAAATATGGCGACAAAGATAAGGACAATTGTCAGAATAATGTAAATGGTGTACATAATACCTCATCACAGAAATATAGACAGATACTGAAATGCCGAAACGTTGTAATAAATATGGCGACAAAGATGATTACAATAATCCGAATAATATAAATAGTGTACATAATACCTCATCTCAGAAATAAAGACAAATACTGAATGGCCGAAACGTTGTAATAAATATGGTAACAAAGATGAGGACAATAGTCCGAATAATGAAAATAGTGTACATAATTCCTCATCTGAGAAATATATGCAGGTACTGAAGGCCCAAAGAGTGAAGGTAGTTAAAATAAAAGCGGTGTTATCGGAAAAACCGTCCTTTTGACACCCCGATTTTTCCGGGTACGAAGTTCCATAATTTCCGTTAAACTTGTATAGGAAATGAATAAGATTTTCATCCTGAAGTTTTAGTTCTATTATGCATATTAATAGAA